AATCAAGTGAGCCATGGCACCAGCCCCCAAATATATTTTTAACTACCACTTCACAAGTTTCCTTGAATAATGACTACATAGCGGCACCACTTAAACAAAATGGGCAAGGTTGGGCCAACACTGTGACATAGCAGATTAAACCACCTTCAACATCAGCATCCCACTTGGGTGCCTGTTTGAGTCCCAGTTGTTCTACTTTTGATCCAGCTCCCTGCTAGTGTGCCAGGTGAAAGCAGGGAGAGATGCCCCAAGTGCCTGGGCCCTTGCATCCATGTGGCAGACCCAGAGGAAGCTCCTGACTCCTGGCTTCAGATGAGCCCATTTCCAGCCATTGCAGCCATTTGTGGAGTGAACCAGTGAATGGAAGATCTCTCTCTCTCTCTCTCATCTCTCATCTCTCATCTCTCTTTCTCTCTATAACTCTGATTTTCAAATAAATAAATCTTTAAAAAATGGAAAACACTAAAATTAAATTGTGATTTGATGTTTAAAAAAAATAGTCAAGGTTAAAATCATCAGTAACAAGACATAGCAGCACCACGAACCCCATAATACAAGGCACTCGGAAGGACACACGTCATTTAGGTGATGTTTTTGCCAAGATCACAAACAAATCATGGCACATTCTAGAGAATATCTGTCCTTCAAAGGGGACAAGGTTATTGAACAAAGGAAAAACAGAGACAGTTACCAGTTGGAGGAGCCTAAGGAGAAATAACTAAATAACTAGAGGAAGACGGAAAAAATTCAAAAAGGCCTTGATTCTGACACCCTTGGAGTATCATGTTCTGACTGACAGAAGCTTTGACATAATCATTTCTGTTGCTGTGTATTGTTATATAACAGGCTCTCAAGGAAGGTGAAGGATGAAAGTTTATAAACAATCCTGCTAAGGATAGTAAGTGGAATATGATAGACACTTCCTTTAATGTGTTTAGAAATGTTATTTATTTTTATTTATTTGAAAGGTAGAGAAACAGAGTTCTTCCATTCACTTGTTCACTCTTGAAATGCTGACAACAGCTGGGGCTGGGCCAAAATAAAGCCAGGAGCCTGCAACTCAATCCATATCTCCCACATGGGTGGCAGGGACCCAGGTAACTGAGCCATCACCTGCTACCTCCAAGAGTATGCATTAACAGGAAGCTGGAATTGAAGTGGAGCTAGGATGCAAACCTGGGAACTTCCTTAAGGGATATGGGCATCCCAATCAGCATCTTAATTGCTATGCCAAACATGCAACCCTAATAGACACTTCTTGCTGTAATTTCCTATGCACAAAGTCAGGTAAGGATAATGTGTTAGTCCAAGTCAATGTTTCTGATTCTAACTGAGCAAGTCCCATAGGAACTTTAGAATCTTTCAAAATCCTCCTAAGAAGTTTTAGAGTTGTTTGCATAAGTCATGTATGATCTGTAAATTCAATCTCTAGGTTACCAAGCAACAGTCACCACTAGTTTCTTTTCTTGTTACAGCCCTTTGGGTTCCCCTCTTCCCTTTCTTAATGTTATTGGTGCACTGGGACTCAGTGTTCCTCTAATGATATCTTGCTCCCTGGATGCAGTTGATGAAGCCAGTAGTAGTCCCATGGCAGTCTGTGAAGTATCTGCTGGAGAACTTTCAGAACTGGAGCGGAGGCGAGGAGAGCAGCATGTGTCTGTGTGTCTGCATAGAGCATACAAACTTGGAAGCAGTCAATCAGCCATTTTCTACTTTGGGGGCTGGGAATCAGAGAATTCAGGTATGAAGACACACACACACACACAGAGAAAGAGAGAGAGAGAGACAGAGAGAGAGAAAAGAAAGCAGGTACCAAGAGCAAAGATTTCTTGATTCTCCAAAATACCACACACTGAGTTTAGTTCCTCAAGGCCAGTCAGCTATATTCCTGCCCTTTGAGTCCACAAATATTTTTAGTCTCCTTCCAATAAATGCTTTTTTTTATGTAAGTTAGCTCACACTGGGTTTCTGTAATATGCAGAAACATCACTTGATGTTGTCTTAGCCTAAAATAGTGCCTGGCTCTTCCATAACGGAAAATAGTAGCTTGTTCCCACCAAAGAGAATATCATTGCAGCTCTGACAGTGACCTCCCAAGGTCTGCATCACACATATTGGTGACACCTGACACCAGGCTGCTGCTGTCAGAGACTAAGGGCACCTGCCTCTTCCTGCCACAGTTGGTGCTACAGTCCCCCTTCATGTCAGAAGCTGTGGTACCATTGTTGCTGCCAACATGCTCCTCCCACAAAACCCTTTGGTGACCATGTGAAAAATATGCTTTCTGATTTTATTCATTCCTTTCTACTGCAGCCCCTCCTACCAAGGATTCTGGCATGAGCTTTTTGTTTTTTAAAGCCCAATTCAGGGACAAGTAAGATTTTACTTATTTCTTTGAGAGGTAGAGTTATGGAGAAAGACAGAAAGGTCTTCCGTCTGCTGGTTCACTCCTCAAATGATTGCAACAGCCGGAGCTGGGCCAATCTGAAGCCAGGAACCAAGATGTTCTTCCGGGTCTCTCATTTGGGTGCAGGGGCCCAAACACTTGAGCCATTTTCTACTGCTTTCCCAGGCCTTAAGCAGAGACCTGGATCAGCAGAGGTGTAGCCAGGACTCAAACCGGCAACTGTATGGGATACTGGTGCCACAGGCAGAAGCTTATCCTGCTACACCACAGCGCCAGCCCCCTGACATGAGTTTTGAGGCCAAATTTAGAGGAATGTACCACTCAGCACATCTTTGGCTAAAGTTCCCATCAATTTCCAGCTGGAACTGGTTTTAAAAATAAGATCTTTTTTCAAAACAAGAACAACTTTAAAACTTAAAAACATACCCAGAAGTTCATTGACTCCACTTTCATCCATGTAGTAGCTTCATCTTCAAACCAGCAATAAATTGGCTGCCACAGCACCAAGCATCATGTATGACAATGATTAAAGGAACAAAGAGGTCTCTCTGTTTTCTTCATGTCTTTTTTAGACAGTGAAGGAAACTTTCCCTGGAACCAAGGATTAGAGACTGCAAGACTGGAGCATTAGTAGGCTGTTCCTCAGACCCTCACAAGCACTGAAGCCTCCTTACCTGGTTTTCATATTAGAGCCATCAGAGAAATGGAAAGAACATGGGTGTCTGCGCCCTACTGCAGACACTGAGTTATTTGTCCTGGGAGTTTTACAAGCTCCTCAGGTGTTTCTGAAGTGTAGCCAGTGCTGAGGACCACTGAAGCAAATAGAATCCCAGTAACCCCACACCTCTGGGCCGCCAGACCTAGCCAGGTGTGCTGAGACATGCGTGAATACTAGGGTGAGCCCAGTTTTAGCCTTTTACTTGAATGTCTGGTCTGTTGTGCTCACAGAGTTTGCTAAATCACATGTTTTGTTAATGCAAAAGTGCTGTGCTTACTTAGACTGCCTGCAGTCTCCTCTACCCCCACCACCAAATACACCATCCTGCAAATACTGCCATCTGGTTGTAGGAGAGAGCTGTTTTCCTCGCCCATTCTATATTCATGGCTGAGGCCCTTGTAACAAAAGACAGATTAACAAGAGAAAAGCATGTGTGTAAGTGTTACACGACATGGGAGTCTTCATAAGGAAATGAAGACTAGAGAAACAGTTTAAAATTGTGTACTTTGTGCTATATTTGATGAAGAGTGGGCAGTCAGCTGTAATTGGACATAGAGTGTCTGCTGTAGTGAGAGTAATCAGGGGGACTTGGCAAGTCCTGCTCAGTCATCTCTGTTCATTCAGGTTCCTTGTGACCCTGCGTCTTCAAAGATAAGAATATTCCCTTCCTCTTGGGTAGAGGTGGGGTTGGAGGGGTACAGGGTGGCCGGTAACTCTCAGATGAGGATCTTAAGAGCTGCTTCAGGGGAAGGACAGAAAATCCTTCTTAGGTCCTATGACTTGCTTCAGGAGAATGTGGTAGGAAGGGTCAGTGAGAAGGGACACCCTGCTTTTACATTTGCTCAAATTCTTTCATCTTAACATGTTCATTATGCCAATGTACCACTTTTAGGAGTAACATATCCTGAACCTCATCACAGTTTGCCAACTCCTAGCATTCAACCAATAAGGGCAGGAAAGTTTCTACAAATAAGAGAGCAGACATTTTGCCTGTTAAGATGTTGATGGGACTCAGAATATGCAAACCCAAAATACAGTAACAACATTTGAGAAAACAGCAAAAGCAGGAAGGTATCTCTGATCTTTTTCGTCCCTTCTCCACTGAAGAACCTCATGTGACAGGTGACCTGTTACCATACGTGGAGGAAAAGAAGGGAGACATGCAGATGTCAAGAAGAATCTGAATGAGTGAAGAAAAGACATTTTTGCTCCTCTATATAGCAAAAGACTTGGTTGATGGGAAAAAATAGAAATGAGGATTAGAAGGTATTGCTGACAGACACCCAATCTTAGACCAGCCAGAATAACAAATTCTGTCTCTACCCAATGGTGTGTAGGAGACACTTGAAGCCATGATTAGGAGTTCAGATTTTACTCTAAGAGAAATGAGAAGTCATTAGCAAGCTTTAAGCAATGAACAGTGTTTGAGATATGGAGGCAAGTGATGAGCTGGGAGCCATTCAATAGGAGAGTGATGGTTCCTCAGCATTTTCACTGCTGTTTGTCTACAGCCATCAAGAGCAATGACCCTAAGGGTTTGCAGAACCCTAATTGTGGAGAAGCCAGTGTTTCACTCGCTTTTCCAGCAATCCTGCTTTATCAGTTGGCTCCTATGTCTGCAGTCAAATACTATTAAAAAAAAAAAAAAAAACAGCCCTGAGGAAGATGTGTTTCTTGTATCATCTCGGTTTTCTGATTAATCATTCAGATGAGAAACCTAAGCCTACTCAGGTAAAAAGATACATGAACTTCAGGTCAGGATCACAACCCTGTCCCCAACATAGGACTGCTTTTTTTCTCCTTCAGGACAGAAGTGTTTTAAAAATAAATTATTTGCATTTAGCCATGGTTTCCTAGCAACCAGGAGAAAGCCTGTCTTTGCCTGATGTCTGTGAGCACCAGCCGAATTCCAGCCGATGCTCGAGCAGCGTCCAGAAGCAGAGGAAGAACAAACGCACTGGGACCACTCTGCAGTGGGTGAGAAATTTCCCAAAGGGACTCTGGTAAGAATTGAGCACCTGAAAGAACACAGGCAGAGAGACCTGTATCCCATCGGTACCATATGGAGAAGGACCTGCATGAAGTGTGCAGATATTCTCTGTGGGTGGGATTCCAATAGACATGGGGGCTGTGACTTTCGGAGTGTTGGTTTCTATGACACAGCTAAAGCCCAAGATGGCTGACATCTTTCCTGTTCCTCTCTTGTATGTGCTTTCCAGCCATTGCTCTTGTTTTCTTTATGCTTTATAGATGGAAAGGAGGGTTGACTGACAGAATTCAAGACTAACTGTGCTTGGCCAGTTCAAAATCTGATGGAAGAGGCTATCCGACTGGAGACTAAGGGAAGAGTTACAGTTTGAACCCAAAAACTATCTGCTGACAGAATTTCTTTTTGTTCAGGAGTGGTCAGCTTTTGTGCTTCCAAGGTCTTCAATGGATTGGATGAGGCCACTTACATTACAAAGAGTAACCTGCTTTACTCAAAGTCCACCCATTTAAATGTTAATGTTATCCAAAAACTTTCATAGAAATATTCAGAATAATATTTGACCAAATATCTTGGTATAGTGACTCAGTCAAGTTGACACATAAAATTGATCATCCCAATTTGCTTCAAATTTTTTCAAAGAAAAAAAAACCATTGCAAATAAAGCTAAGATCTCATTTATGACTCTCTTTGGGTACCCCCATTCAATAGTGATAATTTTTTAAAAAGATTTTTTTTTGAAAGTCAGAGTTACAGGGAGAGAGGGACACACACACACACACACAGAGACAGACAGACAGACAGAGATGGAGAGAGAGAGAGAGAGATCTTCCATTCACTTGTTTGCTCCCCAGCTGGCTGCTCAGACAGGGCTGGGCCAGGCTGAAGCCAGGAGCCAGTAGCTTCATCCAGGCCTCCTAAATGGGGCCCCATCTTCTGCTACTTTTCCCAGGCCATTTAGCAGGGAGCTGGATCGGAAATGGAGCAGCCGAGACATGAACTGGCACCCATATGGGATGCCAGCATCATAGGCAGTGGCTTTATCTGCTATGCTACAATGCCAACCCCAAACGTGACAGTTTTCATAATCTCCTTTTCGTGACTTCTTTCCCCTTCTGACCTCATCACCAGATCTCCAATTTCTGGCTCAACTGTGTCAGAATTTAAAACACATTTGCCATGACCACATGTTATTTCAAGGGCCTCTTGCCCATAGGAGGAGGATTGTAGATGGAGTTCTACAGAAAAATCCATCATGAGCCATTCCATCAGGATAGACTCTCTGGGAGTCACTATGTCGAATACATAAAGAAAATCTCAAGCATATTCAGATCACAAACCATCTGTGTTTGGGGGGTTCTGCCCAAATAGCCTTATCAACTATCACACGAACAATATCTGATTTACTTGCAAGGATAAGTACATGATAAGGGTTAGAAAACCTTGGAAGGAATAAAAGATGTCGGATATATACAGGGTACAATGCACTGGCCTGCAGATCAGCATTCTGACCTGGCACTTGCTGTGTAAGAAGCCTGAACTCTGAGCACACTCGGATCCCTTCCAAAGCCTCGCACTCCATGACTGGTATTTGGAGTGATAGCATCCCTAACTCAAATTCTCTCCGATTTGCTGCTGTGGTTTCTAGGCTGAGAAAGGCTGGGTCTTCCCAAAGAATATTAGGAGCAGCGCAAGCTGCAGATACCTGCTCAGCGGAACAAGCTTTTCATCATGGAAAGGAAGCTTGTAAAGAAGGAAATAAAAAAGCTCCTGTAAGTACGATTGAGAATAACTTGCATTTATGATACTTGGCATCTAGTGAGTTTCATGTCATACATAGATGGTCAGGAAAATGGCAGGGTGGTAAAAATCTATGAAAGAATCTATTCCTGCACTATAAGAGAAGGACAGGAGGTGGTCTGGCTTCTGACTGCTGCCAGGGAGGCTCCCCACGTGGTGCAAAGCAGGATGCTCTATCTCTGGGGAGGATGCTGGCAACTAGCACATCTGAGCCATCTCCATCCTAGAGCCTGGGAGCTGAGCCCACAAGCCCAGTAGACCTCCTGGGCCGTAACGGAGGTGAATGGGTGGGTGGGGGTGGGGAGTATATGCCAATGAAAGGAGCTGGCCCTGCTGGTAAGATACAGGAGAGATCCCCAAAAAAACGTGCCAACAGCCCAACATTTAAATTGCAGCCTGTGCCTCTGTTACTGTCAGCCTTTTTGACTAAATAATGTATCTCCCTTCTCTGACATCTAAATTTTTTCCTTTAACTAAAAAGGAAAACAGCAAATTTCCCATGGAAATTTTTTCTCCTCCCATGGTAGCTTTTCTTTGACATGGTACTTGACAAAGGTTGGTAGAAAATCACAGACCATATAAAAGGGGGAAAGGTTATGCTCCATTTTACATATATTACACTCACAACAATAACACCCTTTCCATTTAAAACTTATCACAGTTCCCATCAAATAAACTTTCTTAGCCCAAATGACAATCATCTCTCAATAAGTCCGAGAAATGCTAGAATAAACTATGTATGAATTGGCATATGTTCAAATGCATATGCTTGGATGCCAATATGATAATAATCATAATAATAGCATTCCATGATCAGGAATGATAACTCCTTGATGCACTTCATCCAAAGAATTAGAATTTTAAAACTTATATAAAAACAATTTTCTATCCAAATAAAACATCTTGGCTACCTCAATTAATTAAAGTATCTTGGAATTTCACAGCAAAAATTAAAGGATTTTTATAATCCTAGAAGTTCTTAATGACTCAGTAGAAAATTTCAGTGGCCAGAAACCAGCTTTTCCTGCACAGAGCAATTAGCTCAGAGTGTCCTAGTGTGATAATTAAATGAACAGAACTGGCCTTCTAGGAAATGGCGAGGATCACTCAACCTCAGAGACATCTGGGTCCTTTTCCTGCATCCAGTTCCTCTGACAACCCCAGGGTGGCACCTCCTACATTCTCTTCCCATGGTGCTTATTCTGGACGTCATCACTAGAAAACACTCTGATAGGAATGCACTAAAGTGGAATTACTAACATATTTCCATGCATAACTCCTCCTAAGCGTTCTAGCATTCTAATGGGAAGAAGCTTTAGGGAAAAAGAATACATTGCCACAGAATCTATGTATCTGCAATTTATCAACTTTGGACATTCTGCCTGAATTTAACATGGGCAGCAGGAAAATTGTTAAACAGTGGGTCTCCATCCCTCGGGTCGCATAAAGCTTTTCTCTGTGTGAGTATCTGGCATGGCATTTGCTTTCCAGTAAATTTCAACTAAGTGAGTTTAATTTTTAGATAAATGTGATTTCAGCTAATGATGGTTGAAGCTTTTTTTAAACTGCAGGGCTGCAAAATTACTGTGTAAAGCAAACTCAAATTACTGTGTAAAGCAAGCTCAACTTGTCAGAGCATTCGTGATTTCTCTTGTATTTGGGGAGGAGAGGATGGGTTGGGAAGAAAGCCTCTTTTTGTAGACTGAACCCCCTTGTCACCCCATAGTTCAATACTGCTCTCTTACTTTTAAGGGGAGATTATATTGGCATCAGACTCCGAGAAAATGAATTTGACCCAAAAGGAAGAAGGCAACTCACCTTTCTAGATGATATGGTAAAGAAAGGCATGCTACTGCCAGTCACATTCATGTTGTGTGTGTGTGTTAAGGGACAGCACAAAATCTAGGTTATATAATAAATAAGGCTAATACACATACACAAACACACACTATATCCTCTTCCTCATCTTCTCCTCTTATGACTGTCCACATGAGCATTTCAACCCACTGAGCAGAAAGCCAAAAGAACAAGAAAATAAAAGTCCTAAAAGTTACTTGTTATTAGGAGAGAGACGATTACAATGCCAAATGATTGCAGGGTGCGATGCTGCATATCGGTGTTTAAAATTCTGACAAATTTAGCTCTCAGGTACGTGTAGTTCTCTAATTGCTTTACCATTTGCATGGCTGGGAGAAATGCAAAAGCACAAGTAGTCCTAAAACCCTTAGTGTTATTCATGCTGAAACCCAAATTCATGTTGGGCTCTGAAAGTCCACCTAATTCAAGAGAAATTGGTAAACCCTGCCCCCCACCCAGTTTTTTATGCTGCCTATCTACATGCTAACCCTTGCACTGATAAGGAAGAAAGGGTCTCCTCCCTCTCCCTCTCTCCTAACCTTTGCTCCTCCCTCCTCCTGTCTTTCTCCCTCTCTCTGACTACAGCAAGGCTCAAGGATACTTTCAAAACCTTCCTGGAGCTAAGGAAGTAGTTCAGCCTTATGCTGTGTGCACACATATTAAATGGAGAAATGAGAGGTGGAGTAGCGTTTCTGGAGTATGAATGAGATCCTGCAACAGAGCTGCTGTGATTCCAGCGATCGGGGTGGGCCGGGAATTTACATTTGTAATGAGTGAACAGGTGATGCCTGTGCTGCTGGTGCAGGCATCAAACTTGATCAGGATCAGGTTTCAACTACTGAGCACGGCCCAGTTTTCCCCATTTATTTCTTGGTTAATCTTCCGTTTGGGTCTGTCCCTGGAAAAACTACTTACATTGTTTAAAGAATGTTAGAACCATAGAACTCAACCAAAATTATAACTTTCTCTTTTCCCAGTGTGGGAATGGGGAGGAGAGAAGGAAGATTCGGACAGATATGTGGTAAATATACTTACTAAGCAAGAACTCCGAGAAGTGACCAGGAAAAAGTGGTCACTATGACAGGAACAAGAGCTGGTCCTCAGCTTTGCACTCTGCGTAGGAATCTCAACAAGTCATTTAACCAGGTCTACCTCTGGTCCTTGGCTCACGCTGCTCCCTCACACCTGTAGAAACCCTCCTCCTCCTTCTCATCCTTCCAGCCTCAGCTCCAGTAAAGCCTCCTCTCTAAAATCTCCCAGGATTCGCCCCAACTTCCCAGGTGTAGTCACAGTCCCGCCTCCAGGTTCCCACCAGATTCTAAGAAGCACCTTTCTGACATTTACTTACTGAATCAGAAAGTTTCTCTGCTGCCTTCTTCTCCCATGCTCACCTTTTTCTATTTCAAAATTGAAGGAAAATGAGGCTCAGAAAGCATCATTCACCCATGGATGTACCACAAATTGTTGGTAACACCTCGATGTGAACCTGGGTACCCTGATCACCAGTTTAGTAATCTTTCCACAAATTCATTCTTTATTTTCTGGATGACATAAATCAAATAATTGCTCTAATGGGAGATGCCTGAAGATCCCTAAATACTTTTGGCTGGGCCTCGGGTCAATAGACGTAGCTAATGACCCTTCCCATTCTGGACATGCCAACAGAGAATAGGCTTAGCAGGGCCATTGTCATTTGGTCTGGGGAGTTCTCCAGTCAACGTCCATGCCCGTTCTTTTGCTCTGTGTGCTTCCTGCTTCCAGGCACACTATGACCTGACCATCAGTGTTGCTTTGCAATGGCTGGATCACTCAGAAGACTTCTGTTGGCTGAAGGAAGAGGAAGTGTAAGTTGAAATAGGTTTGTTGTTTATCTCTTTTAATGTGTGCCTCTGATTAATGATAGAGTTCCAGCCATATCTAGCATCATCCAACACGAGGCACCCAAATTTGAGCACACCCCAGGGGGAATATCCCTCTTCAATTAGAGACTTGAAGAAACCCTATAGGTGCCAACCAGAGATAGGATAGTGATTGGTAAAACAATCAACACCTGCGACAGTCACTAGTCTGCCAGTTTTTGACAGCTGCAAAAACATGGACAGAAGAGAGCAAGTTCATCACCGTTACAGGCAGATTAATCATTCTAAGTGTGTATTTCACTGAGGGTCAATCATATCAGCTTTATAAATCAGCAAATAGCACATAGCCATGGCAGATGACTTATAGACCAACACCTTAGCAGCTATTGATGAAAACAATAACTAAACCCTTCACTCTTATTCATTCATATTCCCTTTTAGGAAAATGCCATTAAATGGTAGATCCAGATATCCAAGCCGTAGAGAACGAGAAGCCATGATTTTATCATCTTATGCTGGAATCTTAATGGTAAGGAAAAGAGCACTATTTGCATAGTTGATAGAGGCATAGATGAATATTTCATATCTACTATTTCCATATTGATATTAATGCAGATTTACATTACTTTTCAACCAATGTTTCTAAATATTTAGGATATACCAGCAGTAAATATTAAGACATGATAAAGATTGTGACTTTTTATACTGTTCTTTAAGAGAGAGAGAGAGAGAGAGAGAGAAGAAACAGACGTAACTAACCGATTTCTGGGAGACTGATTTATCCTTTTATGCAAAGTTATTTATTTAGTTCTTACATTACCCACAGTACTAGAGATACTGGAGCTATGGTAGCTTTTGTTTTTGTATAAAAGAAAAGCCATTGAGGGGCTGGCACTGTGGCGCAGTGGGTTAAGGCCCTGGTCTGAAGTGCCGGCATCCCATATGGGCACCAGCTCTAGTCCCGGCTGCTCCTCTTCCAATCCAGCTCTCTGCTATGGCCTGGGATAGCAGTGGAAGATGGCCCAAGTCCTTGGGCCCCTGTACCCATGTGGGAGACCAGGAAGAAACTCCTGGCTCCTGGCTTCGGATCGCCACAGCTCTGGCCGTTGCGGCCATCTGGGGAGTGAACCAGTGAATGGAAGACCTCTCTCTGTGTCTCTACCTCTCTCTGTAATGCTTTCAAATAAATAAAATAAATCTTAAAAAAAAAGAAAAGCCATGATATGATAATACAGTTGTTGTTGTTGCTGATATTGTTTAACAGAACAGTACCCCTATTGAGGAAGTCTTCAGACTTTATGGGGCTGATTCTTCTGCTCACTCTGGTACAACCAAGGTATGCATGACCTAAGATCAACAACAGAAGGGATTTTGAGAAACTTAATTTAGTCTACAAATTTAAAATGCTAAATGTTTGGGTGTGAAAAATGAAATCATGATTTATATCAAAATGTGCAAAAACACATGGAGCCATATCTTACTTGTGTAGCATGCTTGTAAAAGGCCATTCTTAGGTAGAGGACTGTGTGAGTAATGACAAATATATTTTGTGTAAGTTTCAGTAGGGGCAGCCAATAGAACTCTGGGCTTGGAGTCCAGATTCTATTTTACTTCTGGTGATTGTAATTCTCATTTCAACTTCTGTAATGTAGATCTTGCAGGTCCACAGTCATCCCTTGTGATGTACCACCTCATCTAGGATGAGGACAAGGCCTACCAGGTCCATTCTCAGGATAAATTGCCCAGTTCACTGCTGTCATGTTTGTTTTTCCCGAGAGACTGCCTTGAAATTGTTAACAGCGCAGTGAAGATCTGGGAGTCCATTGCCCAGGATTTGAGTTCTGAGACCAGTCCTTTCCTCTTTTTGGACCTTCAAATATTTATCTTTTCTTACAAAAATAAGTGTTTTGAATGATTTTAAAATCAGTCCAATTCTTGTCATTTATGAGTATATGAACACTCAGCAAGCATTTTTTAAAGATTTATTTTATTTATCTGAAAGGCAGAATTAGAGAGAAAGAGAAATCTTCCATCAGCTGGTTCTTTCCCTAAATGGCCACAATGGCCAGGGCTGGGCCAGGCTCAAGCCAGGAGCCCAGAACTCCATCCAGGTCTCTCCTGTGGGTGGCAGGGGCCCAAGCACTTGGGCCATCGTCTACTGCTTTCCCAGGCCATTAGCAGGGAGCTGGATCAGAAGCAAAGCAGCTGGGGCTGCAACAATATGGGACGCTGGCATTATAGGTGGCAGCTTAACCCACTTTAACAAAGCACTGGTCCCACTCGAGAAAGCATTTTAACGTGGTGTGCTGTTTAGAGGTGAATTTCTGAGCCCTTTATCTTAAAATACCCCCTGCAGAGGGAAAACAAAAAAGAAATTGGGGTGGGGTGGGGGCAGGCGGCCTGAAGGAGGGAGGGAAGGAAGTTTGGGGGAGGGGGAGCTGATAGCCTCCTACCCAGGCCTGTCCACACTATCACTCTTGTTGCTCCTCACCTGGATTTGGAAGGGATCCAAGGCAGTGGCAGGGCTGTGGCCACAAGAATGCCTGCGCCTCCTTTGTTCTTTTAACTGCAGACCATACTGCAAGCCATGGAACTCTGTAAAGGACAAGCGCTCACTGGGTCCGCTCTAAGAGTCCAGTATTTACCAAGTGTTGTAACTTTGAAGCCAACCTCTGCAACCTGACTGCAGTCCCACAGCTCCAATTACCTGGGTCACACACCTGGAAATCACGGAGGAAGTCTCTTCGGTCACTCTAGTTTCAGCTCAGTCCATTCCTTCCTTCATTCACTGGAGTTGCAGGTGCTGGGGACAGGATGGGGAGAAAACTGGATGCAATTACTCTTCTAAAGATCTTACACCCTATTTTAGGGGCTGCCTTGGTTGACATTTAAGGCACCCAGGCCTGATGGTCCTCAGAGATGAGCTGTTGTTCTTGGATTTTAAAGAAAGCCTAGCTCTCTGGGTTCCTTTGCTAGGCATGCAAACCATACTGCTTCTTTGTTGCTTGCTTCTTTTCTCCCTGCCTGGATGCCCTCCGTTCCCCTCCCCCAGCCCCCCAAACACACACACACATACACACACACAATCCTGGGCCCCAAACCCTCCTGTTTCAGTCACTGTTTCCCCTGGCATCTTCTGATGGCAGTGGGAGCACTATGGCAGGCAGAAGGCAATCACAACATAGCAGGGCAGAGAGACAGAAAATCACATCCTAAAGAAGGCACCAGGATCCTTAGTCTTAGTGGGTTCTACAACCAAGAAGGTTTGCAAACATGGGTGTCTATGTAGGTCGGATGAGTCAGGATCATCCACAGGGGCTAGAACAGGAAGGCGTGCCTCTTCAAAGTGGCCCAGCCAGTCTCTACCTATCTCCCTGGTCACTCATTTATTCATCAAGTAGCCTCTGCTCAGTGACCCATGCGGCCCACCTCAGCGAGGGGCCAGCAATGAACAGCCTAGGGGTGGATGCAGACTACATAAAGACCAGCTCTGAACAGACACAGGTAACATCACCATGCTTCTTTCAAAGGCTTGCATTTATTTACGACTGAGGGATGTGGGATATTGGCTTACTTATGATTTATATGTGAGTGGCAGTTTGCAGAATGTTAAGCACTAGGATTCTAAAGTCTGGCTACCTGGGTTTGACAGGCAACTCCACCAGTTTTAAGCAGCATTTTCCTGGCAAATTTTCTAACCTCTGTAGACAGCAATTTCATTTATAGAAACAAGGACTAGAAGATGGAGTTATTGAGTGTATGAAGAGAGTTAGTATCAAGAAAGCCTCAGTGGCTGGCACGTGGTGACCTCAAAGTAATGGTTATCTTGACGTTTCAGGTGCTCAGGGGTTGGACGCCTGACTTCTCTGTTCCTCTAAACCAGGATTTCTCAACATTTGGGGCCAGATAATGCTTTGCTGTGTTTGCAGGGGACAGGGAATGGGAATTCTCCTGTATGTTATAGGGTATTTAGCACCATCACTGACCTCTACCCATTAGATGCCAGTAACTAGAGTAACTCTCTAGCTGGGACAATTAAAAATGTCTCCAAACTTTGCCAGATATAATAATAAATGGTTAATCAAGCAATATGTGTATTATTAACAATTGCTAGCTCCACCTATTTTCCACAATCTGTTATCACAAAGGTTATGAATTGAGTCACCAATATAAGAATCTTAGAATCTACCCTGTGAACCTCACAAGCTCCTCCCTGTCTCAAGAATGCCAGCTCTGGGCTTCCTCTTGTGGCTACACATTAACTCAGCCCACGGACCTTCTCCATGTCTTGAATAAGGAATTAGCAGGACCTCTCAATGGAAACATAGCATCTAGAAGATTACACAGTAAGGCTATTTTAAAACGGTCAATTAACATAATTTTAAAATGTGATTTTGACTAAGGGAATGCAGTCATTAAAAAAGAAAATAGCTATTGCCAAAGATGCTTCTATAATTGCTGCATCTATCTGAATGCCTTTTGGTGCCCTTGGATAAAATGTCTCCTAAGCAATAGCTAAAATTCTTCCCAAGCAAAAGCTTAAAATCCTGCTGAATACTAATCAGATTAAGTAGAATGTTTGCCAACTGTGGAGTTGCCCACACGATACAATATGGGCAGTGTGCTCCAGCTTGTTAGCTTTCTCCAGGACTATTTGCTGCCACCTAGTGACAGAAGGGCATCATGGCACAGAGCGGTTCATCACCTCCATTAACCTTTGATTTTTCTTCATGATAGGGAACTATTTTTTGCTGATAGGGAGCTTTTTTTTTTTTTTTCCTACTAAGTACTCTGGACCCATAGAAAAAAAATTAAACTAAGGGCCTTTTACAAGTGAGGGGCATTGACAAGTAGCTTCAAATGACTATAAAGTACCCTACTCCATTTTAAACTGACAGAAAAGAGCAAGTCTTCTTTCAACAAATATAGCAAGTGATACAAAATATCCTTCAGCTCCATTGATGGAGAAAGACAGAAAAGAGAGAGGCCAAAGAGCAAAAATGAGGGCACCAGAAACAAGAAGGGAAAAGGGAGTGGTGAACATAAAATACCGGAATTCCTGCTTTCCCTTTTATTTTTTTAAATTAGAGACAGAGCTCCCATCCACAGCGACCACACATCCCACAGTGACCAGGGCTGTGCCAAGCCAGGAACTCAACTCAGGTCTCCCACATGAGTGGCAGAGACCACCTATTTGGGCCATCACCTTCTGCTGCCCAGAGTCCGCATTAGCAGGAAGGTAGAGTCAGCAGCAGGAGCCAGGACTCTAACCCAGGTACTCCAACATGGGATGGGTGTCTTCACCGTCAGGCCAAATGCCTACGTCTGCTTTCTCGGTTTATTCCTTGAACCTGGTCAGCCATCGTTGGAGCCTATCCTGGTATCCAAAGTCCAAAGCATGCTTCTCAGAGGTAAACAGACTGGTGTCCAGTCCCAGCTCTGTCACCCGCTGGCTGTGTAGTCTTGAATAAGTTATTTAATTGCTCCGATTCCAATTTCCCTGTCTGTACATAGGGAAACTATGTATGATTACACTTACCCAAACACACCATGTTGCTCCAAGGACACAATGAGACCTTGTATGTCAAGTACACAATGAAGTCCTCCTGTATTGGTGCTATTGTTTCCAAGCCCCCCCCCCCCCTTCCCCAAAACCAGGAAGGGCTGGCCTCCTCCTGAGAGGAGCCTTGTCTCTGTAACAGACCTAGCTTCTACCCTCTCACGCTGACTTCAACCATCTTGGAGGATGCTGACTCAGACTGAATTGCAAAAATTAAAAAGTGTCTTTAAGACACAGTTAAGGACCTGTATATTATTTTTTTGTTTATCTCTTTTTTAAAAGATTTATTTTATTTATTTTAAAGGCAGAGTTACACAGAGAGAGAGAGAGATCTTCCATCCACTGGTTCACTCCCCAAATGGTTGCCAACAACTAGAGCTGGGCCAGGCAGAAGCCAGGAGCCTGGAGCTTCTTCTGGGTCTCCCCTTCTGGGTCTCCCACATGGATGCAGGGGCCCAAGTACTTGGGCCATCTTCCTCTGATTTCCTAGGCATATTAGCAGGGAGCTGGATTGGAAGTGGAGCAGCTGGGACTCAAACTAACACCCATATGGGTATGCCAGCACCACAGGCAGCTTTATCAGATACATCCCAGAGCCAACCCCAGGACCTATATTTTAAAACGAAAGTTCAATATTGAGAGATCTTAGTACTGAGGGATTAAAAAACATGATTTCAATATGTCTACATGTATAACTCAGTAGACCATCAATATTAATTATGTCCAAATTAATACATAAGATTTATGTTTAAAGTATAAAAATTGGGGCTGACTGT